CTTTAATGAAAATTCCTTAAACAGTGAAAAAAAAAAGAAGTGCCACTCCTTATTGATCGAACTAAAAGCACTATTTCCTAAGCTGTGGACACTGAGTATAGCAATATGTGATCCAAAGAAGTTCCCACTCTGCTTCTCTCTAGTGAAGTCCTGCCAGGCACCTTACCACTTCCACTGCCACTTTTTCCTCCTCCAAATGTGGCTAAGCAATTATTTTCCCTATGGAAAACTCCAAAGATGGGAACATGGCTAGGCACATTGGGGCCACGCTGAGAGAAAGCAGACCTAGTTATACTTTTTGCAAAGGTGACTTCAGATATGGAATCATAATTTTAGCTGCTGGAAGCAATTATGTTGGAATTCACGTAAGACAGTAAATGACTCGAAAAGGACAATTGGTTGAAGGTTTATTAATTGTTCCTTCAAGTGGAAAAGTCTTGCCCTATTGATTTAATTGACAGCACTGTTTCCTCAGCCATGTTGACTAAGTACAGCAATATGTTATCTAAAGAACTATCCACTCTGGGCCGGGTGCGGTGGCTCATGCCTATAATCCCAGCACTTTGGGAGGCCGAGGTGGGTGGATCATGAGGTCAAGAGATCGAGACCATCCTGGTCAACAAGGTGAAACCCCGTCTCTACTAAAAATACAAAAATTAGCTGGGCATGGTGGTGCGTGCCTGTAATCCCAGCTATTCAGGAGGCTGAGGCAGAAGAATAGGAGAATTGCTTGAACCCAGAAGGCGGAGGTTGCAGTGAGCCGAGATTGTGCCATTGCACTCCAGTCTGGGTAACAACAACGAAACTCCGTCTCAAAAAAAGAAAAAAGAAAAAAAAAAAAGAAATATCCACTCCGAGGCCCAGGTGTGTGGTGGCTCACACCTGTAATCACAGCACTTTAGGAGGCCAAGGCAGGTGGATCACTTGAGGTCAGGAGTTCAAGACCAGGATGGCCAACATGGCAAAACTCCATGTCTACTAAAAATATAAAAATTAGTTGAGCATGGTGGTGCCCACCTGTAATCCCAGCTACTCGGGAGGGTGAGGCAGGAGAATCGCTTGAACCTGGAAGGTGGAGGCTGCAGTGAGCTGAGATTGCACCACTGCCATCCAGCCTGGGCAACAACAGTGAGACTGTCTCAAAAAAACAAAACAAAACAAAACACTTTGTTCTCTGCTGCTTCTCTCTGGTAATGTTCTGCCAAGTACATTAGTACTTCCTTCCACTGATACTTTTTCCTCCTGCAAAGGTAACTGAGCAATTGCTGTTTCGCTTATGGAAAACTGAGTATAAATTGGAACATAGCTAGGCCAATGGGGTCATTCAGAGTCAACAAATATTATACAGCATGTTTTCTTTTCAGTAGCTTAATTTTTACTTCAATTTTTTTTTTGGAGACAAGGTCTCACTCTGTCATCCAGGCTGGAGTGCACTAGTGTGATCTCAGCTCACTGCAACCTCCACCTCCTGGGTTCAAGCAATCCTCCCACCTCAGCCTCTTGAGTTGCTGGGACCACAGGCGCATGCCACCATGCCTGGCTAATTTTTGTTATTTTGTAGAGACAAATTTTCACTATGTTGCCCAGGCTGGTCTTAAACTCCTGGGCTCCAGCGATCCGCTTACCTTGACCTCCCACAAAGTGCTGGGATTGATTATAGGCATGAGCTACTATGCCTGGCCCTCATTTCTAGTTTTTGATTATTTAAAAATTTTGTTTGTTTATTGGAGACAGGGTTTCAACCGTGTTGCCCAGGCTGGTCTCGAACCCCTGAACTCAGGCAATCAACCCACCTTGGTCTCCTGAAGTGCTGGTATTACAGGCGTGAGCCACTAATCCAGCTACTCAAGAGGCTGAGGCAGGAGAATCACTTGAATCTGGGAGGCAGAGGTTGCAATGAGTGGAGATCCCGTCACTTCACTCTAGCCTTGGTAACAGAGCAAGACACACACACACAAAAAAATTGTACCTAAATGTGATTTGAGACTTTCTACCAGATCTATATAATAGAAATTCTCGTTTGTTCTCATTTTTTAATAATTCCCAAACCCACGTTTTTTGTTTTTCTTTTTAAGGAAGAGTCTTGTTTTGTCGCCAGGCGCCAGTCTGGAGTGCAGTGGCGCCATCTTGGCTCACTGCAATCTCTGCCTCCTGGGTTCAAGCAATTCTCCTGCCTCAGCCTCCCAAGCAGCTGGGACTACAGGCGCGCACCACCACGCCCAGCTAATATTTTTATTTTTAGTAGAGACGGGGTTTCACCTTGTTGACCAGGATGGTCTCGATCTCTTGATCTCATGATCCACCCGCCTCAGCCTCCCAAAGTGCTGGGATTATAGGCGTGAGCCACTGCATCCGGCCCTAATTTTTATATTTTTTTAGTTGAGACGGGGTTTCACCATGTTGGCCAGGATGGTCTCGAGCTCTTGACCTCGTGATCTGCCCGCCTCAGCCTCCCAAAGTTCTGGGATTACAGGCCTGAGCTGCCACGCCCGGCCAGATGTTTTAAAAAACATTCATCTTTCCCAGAAATTTTTCTTTTTTTTTTCAAAGATGGGGTTTCACCATGATGGCCAGGCTGGTCTTGAACTCCTGACCTCAGGTGATCCACCCACCTTGGCCTCCCAAAGTGCTAGGATTATAGGCGTGAGCCACCGTGCCTGGCCTTTCCCAGAAATTTCTAATACAGAGGTAGATACGAGGTTTCTGCAAAATGAACAAGTCATGTCTTTTCTTTAGAGTGTCCCACAGCCCTTGCCTGGACAGGCAAATTCTGAAGCTTTTGTGTCTTGCAGTAATTTTTGACCTGGACATTAAAGTGGTACTTGGCCTTTGAATTCCTGTCTTATCCTTGCGCAGTTTTTTCTTATTTTTTTCTTTTCCACCTAACCAGTGTGCTGCACAGGTTTTTGATGATATTCCCAAACACAAATCATGAGACGAGTGTGCCATCTTGAGTAAAAAATTGTTTCTAACTCAAAAAAGTAGAACCTTTCTCACTGGACTCCTCCAAAGGCAAGCACCAGTCTAGAAAAGGAATAAAGTGGCACTCAGCAGCCTGGGAGCTGCAGCACATCCACCGCTCTCGGCAAGAATGATGCTATGACCTCACTGAGTACTCAACACATGGGGCAGAGGGATGGGTTTACCTCTGCTGGAGCCGTTCTTAGCCCTAGAGTGCCACTCCAGATGTGTGGCAGTAGAAGAGTAATTTTATGAAAGCCTAAAGCAGCACTACCTCCCACAAGACAAAGCAGCAGAGCTGAAATTAACTCAAGGCTGCAGAGCAAAGCCCCCTACAGAAGAGAGTCCACTGGGAGCTTGAGGGCTCTCCTTAAGATAAAGCTGTGACCTTCAATTTAAAGGCCAGGGGAGGCCAGGTGTGCTGGCTCACACCTATAATCAGGAGTTCGAGACCAGCCTGACCAACAGTGAAATCCTGTCTCTATTTAAAATACAAAAGATTAGCTGGGTGTGGCGGCGGGGGGGCCTGTAATCCCAGCTATTCAGGAGGCTGAGGCAAGAGAATTGCTTGAATCCGGGAGGCAGAGGTTGCAGTGAGCTGAGATCACACCACTGCACTCCAGACTGGGCAATAAGAGCGAAACTCTGTCTCAAAAAACATATAGGCCAGTGGATGCCAAGCCTTAAAACTTTAACAACTTATAAAATTTCTTAATAAGAAATTCCACATACCAGCCAGGAACAGTGGCTCAGGCCTGTAATCCCAACACATTGAGAGGCCAAGGTGGGTGGATCACAAGGTCAGGAGTTCAAGACCAACCTGGCCAAAATGGTGAAGCCCTGTCTGTACTAAAAACACAAAAGTTAGCTAGGCATGTGTGGTGACGGGCGCCTGTAATCCTAGCTACTCAGGAGGCTGAGGCAGAGGTTGCAGTGAGCCAAGATCGCGCCACTGCACTCCAGCCTGGGTGAGACTCTGTCTCAAAAAAAAAAAAAAAGAAATTCCACATACCAAACTAGTCCCAGAAATAAATATGCAACTTACTAAACAATAAAATAATAGCTTAACACAATAGCCAAAAAAGTTAAGAATTCAGAAATGTTTGCTTTCCCTATGAAAACTTAGGATAGCTGGCATGGTGGCTCTTGTCTATAATTCCACCACTTTGGGAGGCCAAGGCAGGAGAACTGTTTGAACTCAGGAATTCCAGAGCACTGTGGACAACATAGGGAGACCAGGTCTCTACAAAAAATTATTAGATAGATGTGGGGCCGGGCATGGTGGCTTATGCCTGTAATCTCAGCCCTTTGGGAGGCCGAGGCGGGGTGGATCACAAGTTTAGGAGTTCAAGACCAGCCTGGACAAGATGATGAAACCCTGTCTCTACTAATCCCAGCTACTTGAGAGGCAGAGAATCCCTTGAACCCAGGAGGCAGAGGTTGTAGTGAGCCATGATCTTGCCATTGCACTCAAACTTGGGAGACAGAGCAAGACTATGTCTCAAAAAAAAAATTAGTTGGGTGTGGTGGCTCACACTTGTAGTCCCATGGACCTGGGAGATGTAGGCTGCAGTGAGCAGTGATCAAGCCACTGCACTCCAGCCTAAGTGACAGATGGAGACTTGTGTCAAACAAAACAAACTAAGCAAAAAAACTAAGGATAACACCCTTGAATTTGTCCCTAAGTTGTCATTCAAAGCCTTGGACTCCCACTGAAGGAATTCCCTAGTACTGAGACACTAGATAAAGCAGAAGTGGCCGGGAGCGGTGGCTCACGCCTGTAATCCCAGCACTTTGGGAGGCCGAGGCGGGTGGATCACGAGGTCAAGAGATCGAGACCATCCTGGTCAGCATGGTGAAACCCCATCTCTACTAAAAATACAAAAAATTAGCTGGGCATGGTGGCGCGTGCCTGTAATCCCAGCTACTCAGGAGGCTGAGGCAGGAGAATTGCCTGAACCCAGGAGGCGGAGGTTGCGGTGAGCCGAGATCGCACCATTGCACTCCAGCCTGGGTAACAAGAGCGAAACTTTGTCTCAAAAAAAAAAAAAAAAAAAAAAGCGTAAGTGAAGACTGCACTCTAATTTTCCTCCTTTGTTCTGTGTTTCTTCTGAAGGGCTGGTAAAAAATCACTTCCTCTATCCAGGAACATTTTTCTACTGACCCCCAAATTTTATTTTATTTTATTTTTTTGAGACAGTTTTTGCTCTTGTTACCCAGGCTGGAGTGCAATGGCGCAATCTCGGCTCACCGCAACCTCTGCCTCCTGGGTTCAGGCAATTCTCCTGCCTCAGCCTCCTGAGGAGCTGGAATTACAGGCACGCGCCACCATGCCCAGCTAATTTTTTGTATTTTTAGTAGAGATGGGGTTTCACCATGTTGACCAGGATGGTCTTGATCTCTTGACCTCGTGATCCACCCGCCTTGGCCTCCCAAAGTGCTGGGATTACAGGTTTGAGCCACCGCGCCTGGCTTGACCCCCAAATTTTAAGCAAAGCTTTTCTTCCCTAACCAATTGCAAATCATAAAATCTTTAAGCCCCAGCTTTAAAATATCCTTCCAAGCCTAAACCAATGAGTAAACTCCATGTCTTGATTTTTAATTTTGCCTGTAGCATCTGCATTCCTAAAATTTACCCCGGCTTCTAAAAATCCCTGCCTGAAATCTAGTGGGGGAGGTCAGGATTTAAGACTTGATACCTGTGTGGCCCTCATTTTTGGGGTTCCTGCAATAAAAGCCTTTTTCCACATCACTTCAAACCCCAGTGTAAATGCCTGGCTTTCCAGGACAAGGCAACTTGATCATAGTCCTGGGGCTCTGGTTGGCTGGAAATAGGCCTTCTCCCACATCTTTCTCACTTTCATGTAGGAAAGAAGTAGTTTCCTTTTTTTAAATCAAAACTGTTTATCATAAGGATATATACCTTCACAGATAGCATAAAGTTAATTTTTCAGAATATTTTTTATCAGCCAGGTAGAGTATCTCACAGCTGTAATCAGTATTTTGGAAAATAAGGTGGAAGGACTGTTCAAGGCTAGGTGTTGGCTGAGCAATGGAATGAGACCATGTCTCTATGAAACGAATAAAAAATAAGCTGAGAATGGTGGTACCTGTTTGTAGTCCTAGGTACTCAGAAGGCTAAGGTAGGAGGGTAATTTGAGCCCTAGAGTTCAAGGCTATAGCAAACTGATTGCACCACTGAACTTCAACCTGGGTAACAGAGGGACACCCTGTCTCCCAAACAGACACACACACACACACACACACACACACACACACATACACACACACACATACATGTATGTATATAAATATCCCATATATTTTACTTTTGCATTTTAAATGTTATGTTTCAAAATATATATATTTTTCATTTTATTTATTTATTTATTTATTTTTGAGGCGGAATATATATTTCATTTTATTTATTTATTTATTTATTTTTGAGGCGGAATTTCGCTCTTGTTACCCAGGCTGGAGTGCAATGGCGCCATCTTGGCTCACTGCAACCTCTGCCTCCTGGGTTCAGGCAATTCTCCTGCCTCAGCCTCCTGAGTAGCTGGGATTACAGGCATGCGCCACCATGCCCAGCTAATTTTTTGTATTTTTAGTAGAGACAGGGTTTCACCATGTTGACCGAGATGGTCTTGATCTCTTGACCTCATGATCCACCTGCCTCGGCCTCCCAAAGTGCTGGGATTACAGGCTTGAGCCACCGCGCCCGCGCCCGGCCCTATTTTATTATGTAATGGAGATACAGTCTCACCATGTTACCCAAGCTGTCTCGACCTGTTCAGCTTAAGCAATCCTCCTGTCTTGGCTTTCCAAAATGCTGAGATTACTTACAGGTTGTCTCTAAAGTAAGTCCTTCCATGTATTTGAAGTTTTGAGTCCATATAAAGACTGTTTACTTTCAAAGAGTTTTACCATATTGCTTATATCCATAGTTTCTAGCCAGTGTGAGTCCTTACATGCTTTTGAAGGATTGAGGCAGATCTAAAGGCTTTACCGCATTGCTTACACTCATAGGGTTTCTCTCCAGTGTGAATCCTTTCATGATAGAGAAAAGAGTTGGAAGAAATGAAAGCTTTTCCACATTGTTTACATTTGTAGGGTTTCTCTCCAGTGTGAGTCCTTTTATGATAGCGAATGGAATTGGAAGAAATGAAGGCTTTTCCACATTGCTTACACTCATAGGGTTTCTCTCCTGTGTGAGTCCTTTCATGCATTTTAAGTTGTGAGGCAACTGTGAAGACTTTACCACATTGCTTACATCCATATGGTTTCTCTCCTGTGTGAGTTCTTATGTGCTTTTGAAGGATTGAGGCAGATCTGAAAGCTTTCCCACAGTGCTTACACTCATAGGGTTTCTCTCCAGTGTGAGTCCTTTGATGATAGTGAAAAGAATTAGAAGAAGTAAAGGTTTTCTTACATTGTTTACATTCATAGGGTTTCTCTCCAGTGTGTGTCCTTTCATGTACTCGAAGATCCTTGACATAACTGAAGGCTTTCTCACATTTCTTACATTTGTACGGTCTCTCTCCAGTGTGAGTCTTTTCATGATAGCGAAAGGAAGTGGAAGAAATAAAGGCCTTACCACATAGCTTACACTCATAAGGTTTCTCTCCAGTGTGTTTTCTTTCATGCACTCGCAGGTACTTGACAGATCTGAACGCTTTCCCACATTGCTTACACTCATAGGGTTTCTCTCCACTGTGAGTCCTTTCATGATATTGAAAGGAACTGGGACAATTGAAGGCTTTACCACATTGCTTGCATTTATAGCGTTTCTCTTCAGTGTGAGTTTTCTCGTGTCTTTTTAATGAACTCGGAGAAAAAAAGGCTTTCCCACATATGTTACATTTATGAGGCCTCTCTCCAGTGTGCATTCTCATGTGTGTTTGAAAGCTTACTAGATAAGATAATGCTTTCCCACATTGCTTACATTCAAAGGGTTTTTTTGCAGAGTGGATTTTTTCATGTCTACGAACAGAACTGGGAAACCTGAATGCTTTTCCACATTCCTTACATTCATAAGGCTTTTGCCCAGTGTGAGTTCTTCCATATATCGCAAGGCTACTGGAATAATTGAAGGCTCTGAGGTGCCTATTAAAGGAAGAAAGACCCATGCTGATTTCTCCACACACACCGTTTTCATATGATTTTACTCCAGGAGGAGTTTTCTTCCTCCACATGTCATCTGGAACCTGGGTCAAAACTTCTGCATGCTGATGACTTTCTTTACTTTGAAAGAGTCTCTCTCCTATAAGTCTTCTGTGAACAATGAAAAGCACATTATAATGGATTTATCACTAATTTTAATTCACTTCTAAGTATTGTACTTGCATTTTTTTTTTCTAAGATGAAGTCTCGCTCTGTCGTCCAAGCTGGAGCGCAGTGGCACGGTCTCGGATCACTGCAACCTCTGCCTCCCAGGTTCAAGTGATTCTCCTGCCTCAGACTCCTGAGTAGCTGGGATTACAGGCACCCACTACCACACCCAGCTAATATTTTGTCTTTTTAATAGAGATGGGCTTTCAACCATGTTGGCCAGGCTGCTCTCAAACTCCTGACTGCATGATCTGCCCACCTCGCCCTCCCAAAGCACTGGGATTACAGGCGTGAGCCACCATGCCCAGCCCTGCACTTCCATTTTTAACAATGCCTAGCAAAGTGTAGGCTTTCTGTCCTGTCTGAACTGTGTGAACATGAAGGGACCACATGCTATACAAGAAGGCCCAGCCATCTCTTATCAAAAATAGTTAATATTGAGGCTGGGCACGCTGGCTCACACCTGTAATCCCAGCACTTTGGGAGGCCAAGGCAGGTGGGTCACCTGAGGTAGGAGTTCAAGACAGCCTGGCCAACATGGCAAAACTCTGTCTCTACTAAAGACACAAAACTTAGCGCACACCTATAATCTCAGCTACTTGGGAGAGTGAGGAAGGAAAATCATTTGAACCTGGAAGGTGAAGTTTATATGCTTTACATGTTTTTAGGGAAACTTTTCTAAGAATAAATATGCTGAAACTAGGTTTATTTCTTATGTTTTCTTTTCTACTTGAGACAGAGTCTCACCCTGTCACCCAGGTTGGAATGCAATAGCGCAATCTCGGCTCACTGTAACCTCAGCCTCCTAGGTTCAAGCTATTCTTCTACCTCAGTCTCCCAAGTAGCCGGTATTATAGGCACGTACCACCACACCTGGCTAATTTTTGTGTATCTTTAGTAGAGATGGGGTTTCACCATGTTGGCCAGGCTGGTCTCAAACTCCTGACCTTGTGATCTGCCCGCCTCAGCCTCCTAAAGTGTTGGGATTACAGGCATGAGCCACCGTGCCCGGCCAGTAGTGTTTGCTTCTTTTTAACATTTTCTTCTTCCATTCTAAGATTGTCTAGAGAGACATTATTTTCTCTTGAAAGTACTAGTTACCTTAGATTTCTCCTGGGATTCTGATGCCTTTCTTCAGCATTCTGGTTGCTCCATGTTTTTCCTAAAATGCAAACCCAGAAAAATAGTCCTGAATTAGTATAAAATTATAAAAAAGTTTATTGATTCTATGTTCATCGCTCATTGCACCAGTGCCTCATTTATTCAAAGCATGGTGGCTCATGCCTGTAATCCAAGCACTCTGGGAGGCCGAGGTGGGGGGGATCATAAGGTCAGGAGTTCAAGACCAGCCTGGCCAAGATGGTGAAACCCCATCTCTACTAGAAATACAAAAATTAGCTGGGTGTAGGGACAGGTGCCTGTAATTCCAGCTTCTCGGGAGGCTGAGACAGGAGAATCACTTGAGCCCAGGAGGCAGAGGTGGCAGTGAGCCGAGATCACGCCACTGCACTCCAGCCTACACGACAGAGGGAGACTCTGTCTCAAAAAAAAAAAAAAGTATTCCCTTTCCGTATTCCAAATCACTCCACAGCACTGATGAGCTAGAAACACCTGATTTCTAATTCACTGAGGGAAGTAATTCACCTCTTACCTATGGAGGTCAGGTTCCTCAAGGTTTCCTGCATCACTTCCCTGTAGAGTTTCTTCTGGGAACGATCCAGCAAAGCCCATTCCTCCTGGGTGAAGTTCACAGCCACATCCTCGAAGGCCACTGAATCCTGAAAAATCCCACATGTGGACAGCAGGATAAGTGAGGCTGACAGCAGTGGGGTCCTATACTTTGTTTGTAGGAAGTTCTCAGGATGCCATGGACTCCAAACATTTATTCCATGACTTGGTAATCAGACCCCTTACTCTCTGTTTACACTCACTTTCTTCGATAACATAATTTTCACGAGGCTGGGAGGCGGAGGTTATAGTGAGCCAAGATCATGCCACTGCACTCCAGCCTGGGTGACAGAGCAAGACTCCGTAACAGAAAAATAAATAAAAATAAAAATAGCCAGGCGCGGTGGCTCACGCCTATAATCCCAGCACTTCGGGAGGCCGAGGTGGGTGGATCACGAGGTCAAGAGATTGAGACCATCCTGGTCAACAAGGTGAAACCCTGTCTCTACTATAAATACAAAAATTAGCTGGGCATGGTGGCGCGTGCCTGCAGTCCCAGCTACTCGGGAGGCTGAGGCAGGAGAATTGCTTGAACCCAGGAGGCGGAGGTTGCGGTGAGCCGAGATCGCGCCATTGTACTCCAGCCTGGGTAAACAAGAGCGAAACTCCGTCTCCAAAAAAAAAAAAAAAAAGATAATATTTTGAATCAAAGAAGGGGAATTGGTGTTTGGAAATGTGGTGGAAATGTGGGAAAGGAACTGAAAATGTAGGATTTTACTGCAAGCCCTCAAAGAGGCAGGCAAGACTAACAGGGTGGAGGATTTAAGATACTGCTTCCCATATATTTGGAAAATGCAGAGAAAAAACAATTTCCCCAGGAAGTGTTAAAAATTTAAATAAGAAGCAATTAAACTGAACTGGCTATAGAACACCAAGACCCTCCACAATCATACAGAAGTCAAATTCAAATGTAATTCACATAAATTTCTAATTTATGTGACACTAGGTGGCCTAAGGAAACAATAACACTAATGACTTACTAATTAATTTATAGGGAAATGAAACTTAGGCTTAACCAGGCACAATAGGTCAGTTAATCTCTGACTACATAACCAAGAGTTTTCACCTGTACAGACTGTGAAAACAAGTAATTCAAAAATTTAAGATGCTAGAACTCTTTTTTCTTAATGGAGGCGGGGCTACGCCGCGGACGCCCCGGGCGCTAGCCCCGCCCACGATGCTGGAACTTTATCTTAAGGTTTAAAGGAATTTTATTCTGGGGGTTAGTCATCTAACAGGCAGTGGTAACAAAGGCCGCTGGAACCTTCATTTCCCTGATTACAGATTAGCCTTCTTCCTTATCTGTATTGTTCTGTAAAATACTTTAAATGATTGAAGCAAGTCATCAAAGACCCTTTCCCTCTTACGGATTGAGGATTGACTTCATTAAAGACTAACTTCCCTTCCACAGAAACTGGATTTAAGGAAAAAAAACCAACTTCCCTCTTACTTTTCTCACACAAAGACTTTACTGCCATCACATCTTTTGAAGCTAGAAATGTTCAATTCACTTTTTTAAATAAGAAAAGAAATAAAAACCTCTTGCAAAGAAAAAGTACTAACTACAGGGGGCCGGGCGCGGTGGCTCACGCCTATAATCCCAGCACTTCGGGAGGCCGAGGTGGGTGGATCACGAGGTCAAGAGATCGAGACCATCCTGGTCAACAAGGTGAAACCTCGTCTCTACTAAAAATACAAAAATTAGCTGGGCATGGTGGTGTGCGCCTGTAGTCCCAGCTACTTGGGAGGCTGAGGCAGGAGAATTGCTTGAACCCAGAAGGCGGAGGTTGCGGTGAGCCGAGATCCTGCCATTGCACGCCAGTCTGGGTGACAACAGCGAAACTCCGTCTCAAAAAAAAAAAAAAAAAGAAAAAGTACTAACTACAAAAAAAAAGAAAAGGGCGGGCCGGATGCGGTGGGTCACGCCTATAATCCCAGCACTTTGGGAGGTCAAGGCGGGTGGATCACGAGGTCAAGAGATCGAGACCATCCTGGTCAAAAAGGTGAAACCCCATCTCTACTAAAAATACAAGAATTAGCTGGGCATGGTGGTGCGCGCCTGTAGTCCCAGCTACTCGAGAGGCTGAGGCAGGAGAATTGCCTGAACCCAAAAGGCGGAGGTTGCAGTGAGCCGAGATCATGCCATTGCACTCCAGTCTGGGTAACAACAGGGAAACTCCATCTTAAAAAAAAAAAAAAAAAAGGCGGTTCACGCCTGTAATCCCAGCATTTGAAGAGACTGAGGCGGGCAGATCAGAAGATCAGGAGTGCATGACCAGTCTGACCAACATGGTGAATGAAACCCGTCTCTACTAAAACTGCAAAAATTAGCCAGGCGTGATGGTGGGCACCTGTAATCCCAGCTATTCAGGAGGCTGAATTAATGAGCTGGGAGAATTGCTCGAACCCAGGAAGCAGAGGTTGCAGTGAGCCGAGATCACTCCACTGGAACTCCAGCCTGGGTGAAAAAGCGAGACTCTTGTCTCAAAAAAAAAAACTGTAACCAATTAAATTGTATAATTAATGTAGTTGTACCAATGAGTTGTATTAAATTGTACAATTAATTAAGTTGTACTAATTGTTGCACCAATTAAATTTTTTTTTTTTTTGCCTATATAAGAAGGAACTTAACTTTCTTTTTTGATATAGCATCTCATTCTTTCACCATGGCTGGACTGCAGTAGGGTATTCACTCACTGCAGACTCCAACTCCTAGGCTCAAGCGATCCTCCTACCTCAGCCTCCCAGTAGCTGGGACTACAGCCAGGTGCTACAATGCCTGGCTAATTTTTTTGAATTTTTCTTTTCTAGAGACAGCGTCTTGCTGTTATCAAAGCTGGTCTCCAACTCCTGGCCTCAAGGGATACTCCTGCTTCAGCCAGAGTGCTGAAATTACAGGCATGAGGAACTGCACCCAGCCAAGAATTTAATTGCAGAAAACTGAGCCCATGACTTTTTTTCTTTTTTGAGATGGAGTTTTGCTCTTGTAGCTCAGGCTGGAGTGCAATGGTGGGATTTTGGCTTGCTGCAACCTCCCCCCTCCCGGGTCCAAGCAATTCTCCTGCCTCCGCCTCCCAGTAGCTGGGATTACAGGTGCCATCTCAAAAAAAAATTAATAAGGCCGGGCGTGGTGGCTCACGCCTGTAATCCAAGCGCTTTGGAGGCCTAGGCGGGTGGATCACCTGAGGTCGGGAGTTCAAGACCAGCCTGACCAACATGGTGAAACCCCGTCTTAAAAAATAATAATAATAAGGCTGGGCGCCGTGGCTCACGCCTATAATCCCAGCACTTTGGGAGGCCGAGGTGGGTGGATCACGAGGTCAAGAGATTGAGACCATCCTGGTCAACAAGGTGAAACCCCGTCTCTACTAAAAATACAAAAATTAGCTGGGCATGGTGGTGCGTGCCTGTAGTCCCAGCTACTTGGGAGGCTGAGGCAGGAGAATTGCCTGAACCCAGGAGGTGGAGGTTGCGGTGAGCCGAGATCGTGCCATTGCACTCCAGCCTGGGTAACAACAGCGAAACTCCATCTCAAAAAAAAATCTATGTTTTCTAAAAAAAACTCTAATTTTTTTTTTTTTTTTTTTTTTTGTCAGAGTTCGCTCTGTCGCCCAGGCTGGAGTGCAGTGGCACAATCTTGGCTCACTGAAACCTCTGGCTCCAGGGTTCGAGCGATTCTCCTGCCTCAGCCTCCGGAGTAGCTGGGATTAAAGGCATATGCTACCACGCCCAGCTAATTTTTTGTATTTTTAGTAGAGATGGAGTTTCACTATGTTGGGCAGACTGGTCTCGAACTCCTGACCTCAGGCGATCCACCGCCTCGGTCTCCCAAAATGCTGGGATTACAGGCGTGAGCCACCGCGCCCGGCCCTAATAAACTCTAACTTATAACTGTGCCTCGGTTTAATTTTTCCCTGAAGAAAAAAACGAACCAGGGACCCCACAGCACACCGCTCCTCCCACAAGAAACCCACACCCGAGGCAGGATCCCTTCATGACCCTCCCGTGGTCCCCGCACAATCTGGGTAGACGCGGGGCTGCGGGCGCGGAGCTGCCCAGAGAAGGCTCCGGGGCCGGGACGGGGACCGTAGTCGCCGCGCAGGGACGGGACAGGACGCTCGGGGTCCCGGCTGCCGGCCCAGCCCCACCCAGCGGCTGAAGGGACCGAGTGCGGAGCTGCGCCAGAGGGACTGTGTCCAGACCCCAGAGTCGCCGCAGGGAGGCCCGGGTCCCGCCACAGCGGTTTCCACTCAGTTGCACCCAGCCCCTGCTTTCGCCTTGGGACCCCCAGCCCTGCCTACTCACCATTTCCTGGCTTGCAGGTATCCCGGTGTCCTCTCTAAAGGTCCCGCGAACTGTGCAGGTCACAGTGCAGTCGACAGAGCGACAACAGCTACGCGTGAAGTAACTGGTCCCTCTCGGAGCAGTAAAGCCTCAGACCTCCACTGGCGCGACCAACTCCCGGAGTGAAGAGAGCAGGAATGCAACCTCCCCTTCCCCGGAGGACAGTTGGCAGGGCCCCGCCCCAGCGCCGCTGATTGGATAAGGGTCTAGACCTCGCCGCCTTCGCTGATTGACAGCAGAAGCCCTGGGTGAGCTGGACCTGCAGATCCGAATTAGCGGCTTCTAGCCACACCTTCCAAGGTCAGCTCCCTTCCTGCCTCCTTTTCTTTGAATATTTGCTTTCCGCCAAACTTGCTCCGAATTGGTAGATGGGGCATTGTCGTCTTCCTCACTCCGTGGGCTGTCCCTGCTCCTTCTTCCTGTACAGGACATAATGGTACAGGGGATTCCAGACTCAAAGTCCGGAAAAGGTGAAAGACATTAAAATATTTTGCCCCAAAATACTGCCCTGCCAAAATATATTTCTTTGACAATTTTGAAATGGCTGCTGCTTGGCCAGCAAACAAAAGGTGGCCTTGCAAAACTGTCTTTTGAGAGGGAAATTTGCATCTGTAGAGAATCTCCGTTAATGAAGCACTACCCTCCGCCCCTTCTTTTCCTTTCCCTTATCTAAAAGCTATTGAGAGTTTGACATATTTTAGGCCCGGCGCGGTGGCTCACGCCTATAATCCTAGCACTTTGGGAGGCCGAGGTGGGTGGATCACCTGAGATCAGACCAGCCTGGCCATCATGGTAAAACCCCATCTTTTAAAAATAAATAAATAGCCGGGCACGGTGGCTCAAGCCTGTAATCCCAGCACTTTGGGAGGCCGAGGCGGGTGGATCACGAGGTCAAGAGATCGAGACCATCCTGGTCAACATGGTGAAACCCCGTCTCTACTAAAAACACAAAAAATTAGCTGGGCATAGTGGCGCGTGCCTGTAATCCCAGCTACTCAGGAGGCTGAGGCAGGGGAATTGCTTGAACCCAGAAGGTGGAGGTTGCGGTGAGCTGAGATCTTGCCATTGCACTCCAGCCTGGGTAACAAGAGCGAAACTCCGTCTCAAAATAAATAAATAAATAATAAGCCAGGTGTGGTGGTACATACCTGTAATCCCAGCTACTCAGGAGGCTGAGGCAGGAAAATCGCTTGAACCTGGGAGGCAGAGGTTTCAGTGAGCCGAGATCTCACCATTGCATTCCAGCCTGGGCAATAGAGCAAGACTCCATCTCACAAAAAAAAAAAAGGAAAAAAGTCTGTGGAGAGACATCATCTACATAACAGTCCACCTTTGCTAGCTCAGCCTCTTCCTTTCTCACTCTACTAAGCTGTCTTGCTACTAAACCTAATTTACTGACCTCAGGTTGCTATTTAAGCTTCTCTGTTTTATTGCTGGTGGGTCTTCATTCTGAAGACTCCCGAATATACATGTTAAATAAATTTGCATGCCTTCTTTTCTATTAGTCAATCTGCCTCGGATCAATTAGTTTTCAGCAAACCTTTAGGACACCAAGAGTCTATCATCCCCACAAAGCCATCTCGTTTTCTCAGAGCAGGACTCCTCCAGGAGGAGAGACAGATAGCGTGCAGTGGGGCAGGAACTGGGATGAGACATGGCCAAGACTTCCTCACATGTACCATCTTCTCCTCACAGTGTGGAAACGCTTCCTCCTCCAGACCTTCATTTTCATTAGCGGGAAACTCTCACCTGAGGTCAGTTTAATCTTATTAGCAGAAAGGGGTACCAATCTAGACCCCAAAAGAGAGTTCTTGGATCTCATGCAAGAGTGAATTCAGGGTGAGTCCATAAATTAAAAGCAAGTTTATTAGAGAAGTAAAGTAACAAAGGAATGGCTACTCCATAGACAGAGCAGCAGCATGGTCTGCTCGACAGAGTATACTTTTTTTTTTTTTTGAGACGGAGTTTCACTCTTGTTACCCAGGCTGGAGTGCAATGGCGCGATCTCGGCTCACTGCAACCTCTGCCTCCTGGGTTCAGGCAATTCTCCTGCCTCAGCCTCCTGAGTAGCTGGGATTACAGGCACATGCCACCATGCCCAGCTAATTTTTCCTCTTTTTAGTAGAGACAGGATTTCACCACGTTGACCAGGATGGTCTCGATCTCTTGACCTCGTGATCCACCCACTTCGGCCCCCCAAAGTGCTGGGATTACAGGCGTGAGCCACCATGCCCGGCGACAGAGTATACTTATAGTTATTTTTTGTTATATGCTAAACAAGGGTGGATTTTTCATGAGTGTTCTGGGAAAGGGGCAGGCAGTTCTCATAACTGAGGTTTCTACCCCTTGTTATATATACCACATAGGGTAATTTCTGGACATTGCCATGGCATTTATAAACTGTCACTGTGGTGGTGGGACTGTCTGTTAGCATGCTAATGCATTATAATTATTGTATAATAAGCAGTGAAGGTGGGGCACAGTGGCTCACACCTGTAATCCCAGCACTTTGGGAGGCCAAGATGGGCAAATCATGAGGTCAAGAGATCGAGAGCATCCTGACCAACATGGTGAAACCCCATCTCTACTAAAAATACAAAAATTAGCTGGGGGTGGTGGCACATGCCTGTATTCCCAGCTATTGGGAGGCCAAAGCAGAAGAATCACTTAAACCCAGGAGGCAGAGGTTGCAGTGAGCCGAGATTGCGCCATTGCACTCTAGCCTGGTGACAGAGCCAGACTCTGTCTCAAAAAATAATAATAATGAGCAATGAAGACCACAAGAGGTCACTTTCTTTTCCTTTTTTCCTTTTTATTTGAGACAAAGTCTCACTCCCTCCCCCAGGCTGGAGTGCAGCAATCATAGCTTACTCCTGCCTCTCTGCCTTCCTGCAGCCTCTGCCTCCCGGGCTCAAGCAACCCTCCCAGCTCAGCCTCCAGAGTAGCTGAGACTACAGGCACAGTCCACTACAACGGGCTGATTTTTTGTAGAGATGGGGTATCACTCTGTTGCCCAGGGTGGCAGAGGTCACTTTCGTCACCATCTTGGTTTTGGTGGGCTTTGGCTGGTTTCTTTACTGCATTTTATCAGTGGGATCTTTATGACCTGTATCTTGTGATACCAGTCCTGCCGTCCCCCTGTCTCATCTTGTGACTAAGAATGCCTAAACCCCTGGAATGCGGCCCAGTAGGTCTCACCCTTATTTTACCCAGCCCCTATTCAGGATGGATTCTCTCTGGTTCAGACACCTCTGACATTCTAACTTAAAGTCAACTTCATAAACCCTTTGTTCATAACACAACCCAAACAATTCTTCTCTGAGCCTGACCTTCACAGATTTTCTTCATATATACAAATTACAGTCTGTCCCCAGAGACCCTATGCATGCCAAAACCAAAACACTGCCCAGAAAATGGCTCCAGGCTTCCGAGGTACAACCCCAGATAGGACAGAACCCCCGAGCCATCTGCACGTGGGTCTCCTGCCTTCCAGGACTCTGCAACTTCCTAGAATCCACACTCCTTCTGGACCAGTTCTGAGCAGCTGGAGGCCACCTGCAGGAGAGGGCGTGCCTGCCCAGGAAGCACCCTTTCCTACTCTGCAAGCTCCAGACTGGCCTGAGCAGAGTCACTGGCGTCGGGCTCTGCTGCCCCCTGCAGGTTATTCAGCCGCTTCTCACCCCATTGCTCAGTTGCTAGAGACAAACACCCTCAATCCCAATTGTGAATAAGACATCAGCAGAGTCCCTGCTTTCCTCCTGTGTGTATGTATGACCTAAGGAAAAACAGGCAGGGTGCAGTGGCTCAGGCCTGTAATCCTAGGACTTTGGGAGGCTGAGGCTGGCGGATCACTTGAGGTCACGAGCTGGAGACCAGCCTGGGCAACATGGTGAAACCCCATCTCTATTAAATATACTAAAAAATTGCTGGGCGCAGTGGCTCATGCCTGTAATCCCAGTACTTTGGAAGGCTGAGGCGGGTGGATCACGAGGTCAAGACATCGAGACCATCCTGGTCAACATGGTGAAACCCCGTCTCTACTAAATATACAAAAAAAAAAAAAAAAAAAAAAAAAAATTAGCTGGGCAAATAGCTTGAACCTGGAAGGCCCAGGTTGCAGTGAGCCAAGATAGCACCACTGTACTCCATCCTGGGTGACAGAACGAGACTCCATCAGAAAGAAACGAAAGGAAGGAAAAAAGGAAAGGGAGAGGAGAAAGGGAGAGGGGAGGGAAGGGGAGAAACAATTCTAAGAAAATTTAAATTCACCGGGTGCGGTGGCTCATGCCTGTAATCCCAGCACTTTGGGAGGCTGAGGTGGGTGGATCACGAGGTCAAGAGATCGAGACCATCCTGGTCAACATGGTGAAACCCCATCTCTACTAAAAAAATACAAAAAATTAGCTGGGCATGGTGGCGAGTGCCTGTAATCCCAGCTACTCAGGAGGCTGAGGCAGGAGAATTGCCTGAACCCCGGAGGCGGAGGTTGCGGTGAGCCGAGATTGCGCCATTGCACTCCAGCCTGGGTAACAAGAGCGAAACTCCGTCGCAAAAAAAAAAAAATACAAAACTTAGCCGGGCGCGGTGGAGGGCATCTGTAATCCTAGCTCCTCTAGAGGCTGAGGCAGGAGAATCGCTTGAACCCGGGATGTGGAGGTTGCAGTGAACCGAGATCGTGCCACTGCACTCTAGCCTGGGCCCCAGAGCCCCAGAGCAAGATTCTGTCCCCACCCTCCCCCTACCACACCAAAAAAAAAAAAAAAAAAAAAAGGAGAAGAAGAATAATACTCAGATGGCGACCTCTCCGTGGCAGCTGAGGAATCTGCAGGCGACCTCTCCGTGGCAGCTGAGGAATCTGCAGCCGGAAAACAACTGCAACTGCCAGGCAGGTCCGAGAGTGGGTGCAGACGGGGAATGAAGTGGAAGAGGCTCCCACAGCAACTGTGGCTCTAAAGCCTGGAGCCTGGGAGGAGGGGATGGGGGCTCCCGGGACGCGACTCCTGAAGTAAAGAGAGGAGGTAGCGCCCAGGGAGCCAGGGGGTGGGGGAGCTGATTCTGGCCAGGGCTGTGGCGCCTGAAGGAGAAAGTAGGGGGTTTTGGTGGGAGCAACAAAAAGGATGGTGTTGCAGGGAGGGGCATTCTTTTTTTTTTTTTTTTTTTTTTTTGAGTTGGAGTTTCACTCTTGCTGCCCAGGCTAGAGTGCAATGGCACGATCTCGGCTCACCGCAACCTCCGCCTCCCGGGTTCAAGTGATTCTCTTGCCTCAACTTCCCAAGTATCTAGGATTACAGGCATGTGTCACCATGCCCGGCTAATTTTTGTTTTGTGTTTTTAGTAGATACTGGGTATCTCCATTTGTCAGACTGGTCTCGAACTCTCGACATCAGGTGATCTGCCCACCTCTGCCTCCCAAAGCGCTGGGATTACAGGCCTGAGCCGCCGTGCCAGGCCTAAGGGAGAGGGGCATTCTTGTGTGGATTGGGCAGGGATCCTGGGTGCGGGTGAGGTTAAAGCTTGGCGAAGGTGGGTTCATGCCTCGGATATGACTGTCTTGGAGGGGATGAGGGTGTGGCCAGGTTTTGGAGGCTGGCCAGGGTTTCTACGTATGTTGAATGGTCCCAGGGAGACTGGGACTACTCAGGGAGTTGGGTGGGGGGCAGGTTACAGAGAAGCTTTGAAAGCAGGAGGTGTGCAAAGCCCACGAAGAGGGACTAAGGGGGCAGGGAGGCTTAGTCAGTGGGCGGTGGGTGTGTGCCCTGTCAGCCTGACATCGTTCAAAGGATCAGAATCTAGTTATGAGGAGTTTATTTATTTATTTATTTATTTTTGAGACAGTTTCACCCTTGTTGCCCAGGCTGGAGTGCAATGGCATGATCTCGGCTCACCACAGCCTCTGCCTCTGGGTTCAAGTGATTCTCCCGCCCCAGCCTCTGAAGTAACTGGGATTACAGGCATGTACCACCACGCCTGGCTAATTATATATTTTTAGTAAAGATGGGGTTTCTCCATTTTGGTCAGGCTGGTCTCAAACTCCTGACCTCAGGTGATCTGCCTGCCTCTCAGCCTCCCAAAGTGATTGGATTACAAGCATGAGCCATTGTGCCAGGCTTGTGAGTTTATTAAATTGAAAAGCAGGGGGGGCTGGGCGCGGTGGCTCACGCCTGTAATCCCAGCACTTTGGGAGGCCGAGGTGGGTGGATTACAAGGTCAATAGATCGAGACCATCTTGGTCAACATGGTGAAACCCTGTCTCTACTAAAAATACAAAAAATTAGCTGGGCATGGTGGCGCGCACCTGTAATCCCAGCTACTCAGGAGGCGGAGGTTGCGGTGAGCCAAGATCAAGCCATTGCACTCCAGCCTGGGTAACAAGAGCGAAACTCTGTCGCAAAGAAAAAAAAAAAAGAAAGAATTCAGGCCAAATCCATAAAGTGGAAGCAAGTTTATTAAGAAAAGTAAAGGAATACGGAATGGCTACTCCATAAACAGAGCAGCCGGAGAGGTGACTGTTTAAAAGAGCATGACACCTCCTCTATCCCTTGCTCCCTCTTTTGCACATGTGACCGTGGCTCCTCTTGCCTTCCATCATGAGGAGGAACTTCCTGAGGCTTCCACCAGAAAGAAGATTCCAACACCATGTTTCTTGTACAGCCTGTAGGACCATAAGCCACAACAACATTTTTTCTGTATGAATTCTGTGTTTCTGCCTTGGCTTACACACCTGTATGTGCAGTGACAAAGTCTGTGTGTCTCTCTGTGAGGGGTGCTGCGTATACATGTCCTGTGAATCTGGAAGGCTTGTATTTTCTGACCTGGTTGGACTCGTAGTACCTCTTTGTCTTGTGGGAATTGGGAACAAGCAGTTAGTTTTATTTTTCTGTTTGTGTTTTGTGGACCCCTGGAGCCTAAGGTGGGAGATGGTGCCTCCCCACTCCTCCGCGCCGCCCCCTCACTGCCAAACGAGGTGCACAGGGACGCAGTTAGTTTTTTACCATCAAGAATGAGAGTAGTTTTGCATTTTCACGCCTATCTTATAGTAGGTTTTTCTTTGTTCTTAGTGCATCTCTCTTTTTTTTTTTTTTTTGAGACGGAGTTTCGCTCTTGTTACCCAGGCTGGAGTGCAATGGCGCGATCTCAGCTCACCGCAACCTCCGCCTCCTGGGTTCAAGCAATTCTTCTGCCTCAGCCTCCTGAGTAGCTGGCACTACAGGCGCGCACCACCATGCCCAGCTAATTTTTTGTATTTTTAGTAGAGATGGGGTTTCGCCTTGTTGACCAGGATGGTCTCGATCTCTTGACCTTGTGATCCACCCACCTTGGTCTCCCAAAGTGCTGGGATTACAGGCATGAGCCACCGCGCCCGGCCATCTCTTGTTATCTTATAGAATATTCTCTTGTATTTCTTGTTTGAGTGTTTTTATTCATGAGGTGATGTTGAGGTTTGTCATATGCCTTTTTTGCATCTATTAGGACATTCCTTTGGTTTTTGATGTTGAGTCTATTTATGGTGTATTGACTGAATTGAAGTTCAGAGATAAAAGTGACCTTGTTTTCCTGGATTAAATCCCACCTGATCATGACGTTTATATGTTGTCATATAGTGCTAAATTTTCTTTGCAAGTATGTTGCTGGAGCTTATGTCAGACTTTAAGAGAGTTTGTTTACTACAGTATTATATCTGGTATAGTGTATCTTGTGTATATACATACATGTATACACGACATATATATGTTATATATGTGCACACATATATGTGTATTGTATGTGATTTAGTTATGGTAGGTAATTGGTAAATATATATAGCCTGCACATTATATATAACTACCACATATAAATGGTATTATAGTATATAGGGTTGAACTATTATAGCATAAATTTATATCGTTTTCTCCTCCATAGCATAGTGCATTTTATTTCCATATCAGTATGCAGAATTATTCAAATACATCAGTCTTATATTCTCATGGGAACAAAGGAGAATCTTACTCTCTTGATGCTACAGAAAGTGAGAAAGTGCCACCCAAAAATCTTCATAATCTTGGATTTAAGGAGAAGATTCTTTTTTTCTCTTTCTTTTTTTGAGACGGAGTTTCGCTCTTGTTACCCAGGCTGGAGTGCAATGGTGCGATCTCAGCTCACCGCAACCTCTGCCTCCTGGGTTCAGGCAATTCTCTTGTCTCAGCCTCCTGAGTAGCTGGGATTACAGGCACGCGCCACCATGCCCAGCTAATTTTTGTATTTTTAGTAGAGACCGTCCTTGTTGACCAGGATGGTCTCGATCTCTTGACCTCAATCCGCCCACCTCGGCCTCCCAAAGTGCTGGGATTATAGGCATGAGCCACCACGCCCGGCCCATTTTTGTACTTTTAATAGAGACGGGGTTTCACTATATTGGCCAGGCGGCCAAGCTTCTCTTATGGCTAGAATGATCTATTCCATAAGGGAATACCATCACACTGGGCCCACAATTGGACGATCCAAGTGGGCAGGGGATCCCCAGGTAGGATGGTTTCATTTCTTTTTTTAGAAACAGGGTCTTGCTCTGTGGCCCAGGATGGGGTGCAGTGGTCTGATCATTGCTCACTGCAGCCTCTTGAGTAGCTTGGGACCACAGGCACAGGCCACATTGCCAAGCTAATTTTTCTTCTTTCTTTTTTTTTTTTTTTTTTTGAGATGGAGTTTCACTCTGTTGCCAGGGTGCAGTGGTGCAATCTCAGCTCACTGCAACCTCTGCCTCCTCGGTTCAAGTGATTCTCCTGCCTCAGTCCCCTGAGTAGTTGGGACTACAGGTGTGCACCACCAAGCCCAGCTAATTTTTGTATTTTTAGTAGAGATGGGGTTTCACCATGTTGACCAGGAGGGTCTCGATCTCTTGACCTGGTGATCAGCCCACCTTGGCCTCCCAAAATGCTGGAATTACAGGTATGAGCCACTGCGCCTGGCCTTTATTTTAGATGGAGTTTCGTTCTTGTTGCCCAGGCTGGAGTGCTGTGGTGGGAGCTTGGCTCACTGTAACCTCTGCCTCCCGGGTTCAAGTGATTCTCCTGCCTCAGCCTCCTGAGTAGCTGGGATTATAGGCATGTGCTACCGCACCTGACTAATCTTGTATTTTTAGTACAGGTGAGGTTTCTCCACATTGGTCAGGCTGGTCTTGAACTCCCCACCACAGGTGATCTGCTCTCCTTGGCCTCCCAAAGTGCTGAGATTACAGGGCTGAGTCGTCATGCCTGGCCTCTTTCTGTTTTTTATAGAGATAGGTTGTCACTCTTTTGCCCAGGCTGGTCTTGCTCTGGTCTGGCTGGTCTCCAACTTCAGCTTCAAGTGACCCTCTCCCCTTCCTTTGGTCAGGCTGTCTCCAACTCCCAGCTTCAAGCGATCTGCTCCCCTTGGCCTCCGAAATTTCTGGGATTATAGATATGAGCCACGGCAACCGGCCTCCCAGGTAGTTGTTGAATGATATTTGCAACCTCTAAGAGTTCTGCAGCAGCGTATTCCTTGACAATGAGGGTCTCCTGCATCCTTTCACCTCATGTTGCAGAGGTTGCTGAGCTTTCCCCTTTTGTTTGCATAGTGGGACAAGCATGTCAATGATCCTCCTCCTCTTCATAGATTACTTCTTTGTCACCAGTCTTCCTCTTCATAAATTGCGAAGGAATCCAAGTTCTCACATCTCAATCGGGCTTACTTACAGTATCAGCTATCATAAGTCTGCATCAGCTCCACAGCTCCAGGATCCATCAAGGCTGCCTCATTTTTCCTCCCCACAGTCCTGTCCCAGAAATCCCCAGTTCTGCTCGCCAGGTGCCTTAGGCTGTACAGCTGCACTGCTGCTGGGCCCAGGCAGCAGCTATCTGTCCCTGCAGTCCCTCCCGCAACCCATTCCCAGCCCTGCCCTGCCCCAGTGGTATCTTTAGTGTTCCTGGCTGCTAGTGCCGCTGTCACCGCGATTTAGAAGTCTTTTCATGCAGTTAAATTATCTTAGCTTTTTCTCTTCCACTTTATACGTACACACAGGAGGAAGGCAGTGATTCTGCTGGTGTCTTATTCACACGGTGAGATTGAAGGTGTTTGTCTCATGGAAGTGATCAATGGGGAAGAGAAGCAGGCGGATAACCTGCTTCTGTAGGGGGCAGCAGAGCCGGAGGCCGGTCTGGAGCCTGCAAAGGGCAGGAAATGGAGGTCCCCTGTGTGCCTCTGAGCAGCTCCAGAAGTGGATTCTGAGAAGCTTCAGAGCCCTGGGAAACAGGAGATCCAAGTGCAGATGCACTTGGGGCGGTGGTCGAGATGGGGGGAAGGCGGGGCGTGTTCAGTCATTAATGCAGTTGGACCTCAGGAGCCTGGGTCCATTTGAGGGGCAGTGTTTTTGGTTTTGGCATTCATCGGGTCACTGGGGTCACGCTGTGATTTGTATATATGAAGAAAATCTATGAAGGTCAGTTTGACAGAATTGTCTGGAACATCACCTGGAGAAAGTTTATGAAATTGACAGTTTATTTAGGTCAGAAGGTTAAACTGACTCCAAGGCATAGTTTCTGGAAGGAAGGAGTGTTCCTGTACTGTGAGGAGAGTTGGTAGAGGTGTGAGGAAACTTTGTCCATGCCTCATCCCCTATTCCAGTCCCCTGGAGGACATCATCTATCCTTCCTGGTCTAATCGTGCCTGGCTTGGTCTCAGTTCCTCCCCTGCTCTGAGACAAACAGATCGCCCCATTGGACACTGAGTCTGGAATTCCCTGCATACACTTGTGACCTGATGCCCCACGAAGGAGCGAGAGAGCCCATTGAGTGAAGGAGAGGTCAGTGACCTTTCTAAAGTTCAGGGAAGAGGCCAGGCATGGTGGCTCACGCCTGTAATCCCAGCACTTTCGGAGGCCGAGGAAGGCGGATCACCTGAGGTCAGGAGTTCGAGACCACCCTGACTAACAGGGTGAAACCCTTTCTATACTAAAAATACAAAAACTAGCTGGGCTTGGTGGTAGGCGCCTGTAATCCCAGCTATCCAGGAGCCTGAGGCAGGAGAATCTCTTGAACGTGGGAGTCGGAGGTGGCAGAGAGCCAAGATCGCGCCATTGCACTCCAACCTGGGCTGCAAGAGCGAAACTCCGTCTCTAAATAAATACATAAATAAATAAAAATAAGGTTTTAGGAAAGTTTGACGGAAATGCAAGTATCCAAGGATCAGGGCACAGGGAGGGAGGTGGGCTTTAAAGATGAAGTGAATAGAATCTGCCCGGCTCTGCCGGTCCCGGTTATCCCGGGCTTCTGCTGTCACTCAGGGCTCAGCGGGCGAGGCGCCCGGGGCGCACGGTCCAATCAGGAGCGCTGGGGCGGGGCACGATCCAATCAGGAGCACTGGCGCGGGACCCTCCTGTTTTTCCAGGGAAGCGGACCGCCGCCCGCGTGTTCTACCGCTGTGCCAGCGACCGTTGGAACCCACTCTCCTGCTCTGAGAAGCTCCAGGTTTCTCCGCCAGAGTTCCTGTCGCTCTGTCACCTGCGCTGTGATCCTCTCTAGTCGCGGGAGCCTTGGAGAAGACAATTGGAATCCCAGACATGGTGAGTGTGTGGGGCCAGGCGTCCTGAGGCGGCGGCGAAGGGCTGGTTAGGACCGGCTTTAACGGGCTGTGGAAGGACCCGGGCCTCCCCGCGGCGACCCCGGGGTCTGTGGGGCTGGGCCGGCAGCGGGGACCCGGGGCGTCCTGTCCTGTCCCTGCGCAGCGACTGCAGCCCCGGCCCGGGAGCCGTCTTTGAGCAGCTCCGCGCTCCCAGCCGCGCGTCTCCTTAGATTGTGCTGAGCCATGGGACGGATCATGGGGGGAATCCCGCCTCGAGTGTGGGGTTCTTGCGACAGAAAAATGGTGGTCTTTAGGGTCCCCAGTCGTCTTGCCTTCTCTTAAAAGGTTAAAAGGGGTTTTTTTTTTGTTTGTTTGTTTTTGGGAGACGGAGTCTCGCTCTGTCACCCAGGCTGGAGTGCAGTGGCAGGATCTCCGCTCACTGCAACCTCCGCCTCCTGAGTTCAAGCGATTCTCTTGCTTCGGCCTCCCGAGTAGCTGGGTTTACAGGCGCCCGCCACCACGCCGGCTATTTTTTTTATTTTTAATAGAGATGGGGTTTCACCGTGTTGCCCAGGCTGGTCTCGAACTCCTGACCTCGTGATCCGCCCACCTTGGCCTCCCACGGTGCTGGGGTTACAGGCGTGAGCCACCCTGCCCGGCCATTTTTCTGGGTTTTAAGTATTACTTTTGAGGTCCCTTTCGGCCACCCTTTTTCTTGATGTATGTAGGATTTAGTCCTGGATGAAGGATTTGGTTCGTGGTCAATTAAAGGCTGAGGTTAATTGGTGCCCTCTGCAGATACACTTTTCCTTTCCATTTGAGAATGTGGAAGAGGAAGGGTTGTAGAGAGAGCAGACTTTGATGCTCTGGGTGAGATAGGGTTTTTTGTTTTGGTTTAGCTTTTGGAAGTTGGCGTTAATTGGCCTTAGGGTGTCTGCCCCCAGACCCAGGTGTTTCCTTTTGATCCAGCTTTGGGAAGTCAGCACAAATTGGCCTTAGATTTCCTGATCCCAGACCTTGGTGTTTTTCCTTGATTCAGCTTTATGAATTCAGCACAAATTGCCCTTAAGTTCCTTGCCTCCAGACCCTGTTCTCCTGCCTCAGTTCCCCTTTGGAAACGTTTTGGGGTGATGTGTCTTCAGGAGCCCTCTCCTATCTTTCCCTGGTATTGGGTTTTAGAACTACCTAGAGCTACCCCAACATGCCCACACTTGCCTGTCTCTAGGAGGGTTTAGAGAGTATCACCCCTGGGGCCACTTCCCACAAGTTAGCCTGTGGTATGGGGATGGGGCCTCCAAAGGGAGCCACTGAATTTTCCGGGGTAAGAGATGACTGGTACACTCTTCATCTAGTTAGCCAACTCCTTTATTTATTTAGAGATGGAATCTCCCTCTGTCACCCAGGCTGGAGTACAGTGGCATGATCTTGGCTCATTGCAACCTCTGCCTCTGGGTTCAAGTGATTCTCCTGCCTCAGCTTCCCAAGTAGCTGGGACTACTGGCACGTGCCACCACACCCGGCTATTTTTTTGTATTTTTAGTAGAGACGGGGTGTCACCATGTTAGCCAGGCTGGTCTTGATCTCCTGACCTCGTGATCCACCTGCCTTGGCCTCTCAAAGTGCTGGGATTACAGGCGTGAGCCACCGTGCCCGGCCTAGTTAGCCAACTCCTTACCACGCTCACTTTTTTCTCCTCCAACTCCAGTTTCAAATGCTTTGAAACACGTGGCTGGTCAGCCAGTTGGATGGAGTCTTGAAGGAAAAGATAAATGATTCTGGTGCTCTGGATTTTCTCAGACTAGTGAATGAGAAATGCAGTTTCACAGGACAATGAAAGCCCACCCCAACATGGTGAAGCAAATCAAAATGTATGTGGGGTACATGGTGTGCTGGGGAACGACACAATACAGTGTTGATGAGAACCCTTCATTGTGAACAGGATGGCAGTGTGGTTTGGACTACTACAAGTGTCATACACCCACCAGTCTTATTTATTTATTTATTTATTTGAGATGGAGTCTTGCTTGGTTGTCCAGGCTGGAGTGCAATGCATGATCTCAGCTCACTGCAACCTCCATCTCCTGGCTTCAAGTGATTCTCCTGCCTCAGCCTCCTGAGTAGCTGGCGTCCGCCACTGCACCCACCACCGTGCCTGGCTAATTTTGTATTTTAGGAGAGATGGGGTTTTCACCATGTTGGTCAGGCTGTTCTGGAACTCCTAACCTCAAGTGATCCACCCACCTCGGCCTCCCAGAGTGCTGGGATTACAGGCATGAATCACCACACCTGGCCTATACCCACCAGTCTATACAAAAGAGTTTCATTGCCCTAAAAATCCCTGTGCTTCATGTAATCATCATCTCCCCTTCCTCTCTTCCACTAACCTGAGACGGAGTTTCGCTCTTGTTACCTAGGCTGGAGTGCAATGGTACGATCTCGGCTCACTGCAACCTCCGCCTTCTGGGTTCAAGCAATTCTCCTGCCTCAGCCTCCCGAGTAGCTGGGACTACAGGCGTGCACCACCATGCCCAGCTAATTTTTGTATTTTTAGTAGAGACGGGGTTTCACCTTGTTGACCAGGATGGTCTCGATCTCTTGACCTTGTGATCCGCCTGCCTTGGCCTCCCAAAGTACTGGGATTATAGGCGTGAGCCACTGCGGCCGGCTAATTTTTTTTTTAGACAGGGTTTCACCATGTTGGTCAGGCTGGTCTTGAACTCCCGACCTCAGGTGATCTGCCCGCCTTGGCCTCCAAAGTGCTTGGATTACAGGGGTGAGCCACCATACCCGGCTTTTTTTTAGACTCAGTCTCGCTCCAGTCCTCCAGGCAGAAGTGCAATACTGGTGCAATCTCGGCTCACTGCAGCCTCTGCCTCCCAGATCCAAACGATTCTTTTGCTTCGGCCTCCTGAGCAGCTGGGATTACAGGCACCGGCCACCACACCCGGCTAATTTTTATATTTTTAGTAGAGATGGGGTTTTCCTATGTTGGCCAGGCTGGTGTCAAACTCCTGACCTCAGGTGATCTGCCTGCCTCTGCCTCCCAAAGTGCTGGGACTACAGGCATGAGCCTGGCCCATTTTTTTGTATTTCTTGTAGAGAGAGGGTCTAACCATGTTGCTCAGGCTGGTCTTAAACTCCTGACCTCAAGTGATCCATCCACCTTGGGCTTCTAAAGTACTGGGATTGCAAGTATGAGCCACCATACCTGGCCTCATTGTTATTTTCATTTGTACTTCTCTATTGGCATGCTTATTTTTTGAATGATTGGTTGGTTTCTTGCTGAGTTTGAGTTCTTTGTATCTTTTGAGTACTTGTCCTCATGAGATAGGTGTTTTGCATCTGTTTTGACCAAGTCTGCAACCTGTCCTTTCATTCTCTTAACAGTGTCTTTCCAAAACAAAAAGTGTTTTGTTTGTATTTTGAGGCGGAGTATCACTCTGTTGCCCAGGCTGGAATGCAGTGGCATGATCTCAGCTTATGGCTACCTCCCCCTCCCAGATTCAGCTCTCCTGCCTCAGCCTTGTAATTGCCTTCACCTTCTTTCTTTCTTTCTCTCTCTCTCTCTCTCTCTCTTTTTTTTGAGACAGAGTTTCTCTCTTGTTATCCAGGCTGGAGTGCAGTGGCGCGATCTCGGCTCACCACAACCTCCGCCTCCTGGGTTCAGGCAATTCTGTCTCAGCCTCCTGAGTAGCTGGGATTACAGGCACGCGCCACCATGCCCAGCTAATTTTTTGTATTTTTAGTAGAGACGGGGTTTCACCATGTTGACCAGGATGGTCTCAATCTCTTGACCTCGTGATCCACCCGCCTCGGCCTCCCAAAGTGGTGGGATTACAGGCTTGAGCCACTGTGCCTGGCCTGCCTGCCTGCCTTCCTTCCTTCTTTCTTTCTTTTTTGAGGTGAGTCTCCCTCTGTTGTCAGGGTAGAGTACAGTGGTGTGATCTTGGCTCGCTGCAACCTCCACCTCCCAGGTTCAAGCGATTCTCCTGCCTCAGCCTTCCAAGTAGCTGGGACTACAGGAACGTTTCACCACACCTGGCTAATTTTTATATTTTAGTAGAGATGGGGTTTCACCATGTTGGTCAGGCTGGTCTCGAACTCCTGACCTCATTATCTGTAGGGGGGAGTGCCCAGCCAGAAGCCGAAAGCTCAGCCTGTTTCCATATAAATAATGAAGAAGAAACTTATTAGAAATAAAACCATAGTAGTTATTAGCTATTCATAGGTGATCTTAGTTATTCATAGGTCATTTAATTCTTTTACTAATGCCTCTCAGGTTGGAAGCCTGAACCTGGGGCGACATTGTGAAATGAATGACCCTAAGGCAAGACACTTTAAGCCCTCTGTCATGCCCGTGTAAGAGCTGCAGGAGGATGCCTCAGCTGTGCAGCAGCGCCAGTGCTGGGAAAGGGCCTGCTGCTTAGCCAGGTAGAGGAGTCGTCCAAGATGGTCTCCTTCCCCGTAGGAGTTAGGAGAAAACTCTGCCTCCTCCAAGCTCCTGTGGTAAGGCCTGACGGCTGTCAGGTAGGCCCGGAGACATCCGAGGGCTTGTCTATGTGATGCTGTGCTTCAGTGATCACGTTCCATGTCTACTCTCATGCTCCGATTCTGCACCTGGTTCCTTTTTTCTTAGAAGAGATGTCAGCAAAAGTAATATAAATCTTAATGTCTTTGTTCTTACTTAACAAGTATGGAAAAGTGCTGACGCATTATACTCCTTACCTCATCTCAGCTACTAGAAATCCCTGAGCCCCTACCTGTATGACATGTGATGTTCTTTACCCTATCACAGCCATGCCCTATCTACCCTGCCCCCAGCTTTGTGCTCAATAAAAGTCAGAGTGTCCAGGCACTTGGGGCCACCGAGGAACTCCGTGCTTTGGTTGACAGTGGACCCCCGGGCCCAAACTCTATTTTCTCTATCTCTGTGTCTTGGTGTCTTCTATTTCTACAATTTCTCATTTCCACACAAACAGAGTGGGGCTCACAGAACCCTGT